GATATATTATCCCAAATCACCATTCAGTGTTTGGGTCTTGTATTTAAAAGTCTATTCTCGTATTTCAATTTAATATCTCACTCCACAATCTTTTCCCCTATATTATAAATAGATATCTACTACAGTGTTCTAGTCTATGTAATAAGAAAATTGGTCAGCAATAGTACATCAATTAACACTTTAAGGAATTAATCTTAAATGTCTTAAGTAGTCTAAATAATTTATAGTTTATATCGACAGAGTTTATCCCTCTTTGCTATTAATACTTACAACAGTAATCTCTTAACTCTATAATAATAGTATACCCCCCATAAGTAGAATTATGTAAGCTATTTAGGAGATACAATAGGGAGGCAGGGGGCAAAACAATAAGAGAAAGGGTAGGAGAGAGATTACCACAGCTTCAGAGAATCAACAAACAAAAAGCAAGGAAGTCATCTTAAGGAGAAAGTAGTGCCAAACTAGTAATATTAAGTAGTACCACGTAATAAAGGAAGCAAGTTGGGTGAGCTAAAAGTCCATCTTCCAGCTAGAGGATTCTTTTCAGCATTCCAATCAGCAAATGGTGTAATGTGCTGACTAATCTGCAGTCCCAAAACCGTCTTTCCCAGCCTTCTGTTTGTCTCTGCCTTCTTCCTCTTGCTTCTTCTTCTTTCTTTGCTTTCCAACTTTTAAATCAACATACAAATCTTCCAAAGTCCAATATAATGCTCAGTTTGTCTTCTCCACAATATTAAATAGATGTGATAGTCGTGTTGTACTCAGATCTGAGGGTTCATCAGACTCGATCAATGCCAGTATTCTTTCACCTCCGTCGCCTCCCTTTTCTCAAGTAAAGTCAAAAAGAAAGGTCCGAAAGTCAGATGAAGCCCCTCACAAATTCCGGACCTCCGATCTCCTGGTTTTGACAATCTTCCTCTTTCCCCAGAGCTTCCCTTTCACAGGGTAAAATCTGCGCTTTCACTTTTGTGCTTGGGCTTTTCCGCTCTCCATTATAGTCCTTTCATTTATCCAGCCGCTTTTTTGGCCACTTTTCCGCCCGACTTCTGAAAGGTGCTAATCACAACCAGGGGAGAAGATTTTACGCCGCTGTCATTCTTCTGTCATTCTGCAATCTTCAGTCTTCAAAGGTTCCAAGTTATAAACCATTTCTCTGTTCCTGTTACTCTCGACCTCGCAGGCTGTCACTGCTTTGCTTATTCACCCAAGTGGCAGACCGGACTTGAAGCCGCCATAGAATGACAGCTTACTCTTCTGCGCCGGGCTCGGGAGCTTCCCTCTTCGCTGTTGGGGGGTTGCCTTCCCCACTCTACCGCTCGAGGTTCTCCACGTTGACACGAACCTCTCCGGGGTTCGTGTATCCCTGGGGGATCGCTCCTGGCGCCAGAAAAGTTGTTCAAAGACCGCAACAGTCTTCTTCACCTCCATTCGCCCTGTCCTGCCCTACATATCATCCTTTTCTTCTGTGGCGAAGTGGTATTGGTATTCAGGGGATTGGGGGGTGGGGGAGAAGTGGCCTGAGAGCAGAGCCGAACCTTCCTTAGGACTGAAGCTTCTATTTTTCAGTGCAGACTCGGGCAGCAGATTGCAGAAAGGTAGATCTGTGAGTGAATCTATGATTCTGCAAGGAACTCAATCTGCTTTGCCTTATTTTGTGTAAAAGTTGCTCTTTTTATATACACTGCTCAAAAAAATAAAGGGAACACAAAAATAAGACATCCTACATCTGAATGTTCATTACATAGTTGAATGTGGTGACAACAAAATCACACAAAAATTATCAATGGAAATCAAATTTAGCAACCCATGGAGGTCTGGATTTGGAGTTACACTAAAAGTTAAAGTGGAAAAAAACACCACAGGCTGATCCAGCTTTAATGTAATGTCCTTAAAACAAGTCAAAATGAGGCTCAGTAGTGTGTGTGGCCTCCACGTACCTGTATGACCTCCCTACAATGCCTGGGCATACTCCTGATGAGGTGGCAGATGGTCTCCTGAGGGATCTCCTCCTACACCTGAACTAAAGCATCCCCCAACTTCTGGACAGTCTGTGGTGCAAAGTGGCGTTGGTGGTTGGAGCGAGACATGATGTCCCAGATGTGCTCAATTGGATTCAGGTCTGGGGAACGGGCGGGCCAGTCCATAGCATCAATGCCTTCATCTTGCAGGAACTGCTGACACACTCCAGCTACATGAGGTCTAGCATTGTCGTGCATTAGGAGGAACCCAGGGCCAACCGCACCAGCATATAGTCTCACAAGGGGTCTGAGGATCTCATCTCGGTACCTAATGGCAGTCAGGCTACCTCTGGCGAGCACATGGAGGGCTGTGCAGCCCCCTAAAAAAATGCCACCCACACCATTACTGACCCACTGCCAAACTGGTCATGCTGGAGGATGTTGCAGGCAGCAAAACGTTCTCCACAGCATCTCCAGACCCTGTCACGTCTGTCACATGTGCTCAGTGTGAATCTGCTTTCATCTGTGAAGAGCACAGGGCGCCAGTGGCAAATTTGCCAATCTTGGTGTCCTCTGGCAAATGCGAAATGTCCTGCACGGTGTTGGGCTGTAAGCACAACCCCCACCTGTGGACATCGGGCCCTCATACCATTCTCATGGAGTCTATTTCTGACCATTTGAGCAGCCACATACACATTTGTGGCCTGCTGGAGGTCATTTTGCAGGGCTCTGGCAGTGCTCCTCCTGCCCCCTTCTTGCACAAAGGTAGAGGTAGTGGTCCTGATGCTGGGTTGTTGCCCTCCTACGGCCTCCTCCATGTCTCCTGATGTACTGGCCTGTCTCCTGGTTGCACCTCCATGCTCTAGACACTACGCTGACAGACACAGCAAACCTTCTTGCCACAGCTCGCATTGATGTGCCATCCTGGATGACCTGCAGTACCTGAGTCACTTGTGTGGGTCCCCTGTGCATCATGCCCTGCCACATACATTGGACAGACCAATAGAAACATAAGTACCCGCCTGGATGAACACAAAAATGCAGTAAAAAAGCTGGAACACACTTCCTCACTAGTCCAACACATGAATGCCACAGGTCATAGCATCGACTTCAATGGCACCAAAACCCTAGCTGCTATAGAAAACCCCAGCTACAGAATTATCAGAGAAGCCATAGAGATTGAAAAAAGACCTGAAAGCATGAATAGAAGAGATGACTCCACCAGACTGTCAATTATCTGGAAGCCTGCACTCACAAACAAAATAATCTCCACACCACAAGCCAAGCAAACACCTGGGAACAAACAGATCCCCCCTGATACCTCCAGCTCAAACACACCCCAACCAGGCACCCAGATGAAACCTAGCTTTCTAATAAATGATAGCGGTCCATTTACTTGGAGCCAAGCTGCACTAAAAGCCTCCAATACAGGAACACAATGTTGCCAGCCAATCAAGACAAAAAAAGCCACAAACAGACAGAAGATATTAGAAACACCAATCAAGCAGAACACAGCAAACTCCAAGACCAATAAACACAGACCAAGACTCCCAACCAATCAGGATGAAGAAAAAACCATTCTGGCACAGCAATAGGCTAGCCCCAAATTTAAAACTGAAACCACAGTAAAAGTCTGACTCACAGATGAACACAATACAGAAGCCTGATGATGGCAGATGAGATTCTGCCGAAATGTTGCTACAACTTTAAAAGCACATCTATAATGACGTGGGAAAATACCCAAACAAAGCTGAATACATGTAAGTACCCACAAAAACTTCATTCATTCATTCATTCATTCATACACACATATAGACATATATATATATATATATATATATATATATATATCACACCCACCCAGTCACATGACCAAGTCACCCCCACAAATTAGGCCATGCCCAAAGAACCAGTTAAGAAATTTGAATCCCACCCTTGGTGGAGGGTTGGACTAGATGACCTATAAGGTCCCTTCCAACTCTGATTACCTGTTATCTGACTTCAGGCATCTCCTGGAGGCTGTTTTACAATGCAAGAAGACTTCTTGTCCCCAGTTTGGGTCTGAGCCTGGTGCCAAAGCCAATGAAAGACACCAGACACGAGGTGCAGGTTTTCTGACTGCTTTTTATTGGAGTACTCCAAGGAAAAGGGCTCCTGGTCAAAATGCCAAGAGCCAAGAACAAAGGATTGAGTAAGTTTTTCACTAAAGGAGAAGATGGGACCAAGTGAGATCATAAGAAATATCATCTAATAAACATTTTAGTAATAATTCTACAATTTGTTCTATTGGTCTCTAGCTGTTCCTATTCCCAAGTCTTGGCTAATGAATGCCCTAGGAATTATCTAATACACATTTAATTTACTGCAGGCCTGCAAGTTGGTGAACTGGTGTTACTTTTATCAGCTTTCCAATTAGCCAGGATAGTTACAAGATTTACAAAGAATGCATATCTCCTGTGGATAAGCATTCTTTGTTCTTGCCAGACTCCACAATTAGTCTTCCTGATTTACTTTGAAGTGTGTGCCATGACCTAGCTTTATTTTAGCAAATGGCCCATCAGACTGGGGCTGCTTTCTGCTTTTAAGAACATGTTTTTTTCCATTTCTCCTTTGAGGAAATATTCTATTGTGCCTCTCTTAATATTAAGAATAAAGAATATTTTAATCTGGGGTGGGAGGGCTTCCTACAGGGTCAAACGCCCTGTGCAAAAGGGGGCTCAGAGAAGTATCTTTGCTCCTTTTCCAGAATTCATAGGGCATTTACTGAGACGAGATTTTAAACAATTACACTGAAATCAAACTTCGATATTTTTTCCCCACATCGCTTGCCCCGCATATTGCCATATTCAATTGGGAACCTGACATCTTAGAAAAGCGCTGACCTCTGTGACTCTTGGGAATCCCAGAAGTCTAACTTGAGACCCGGAAATTCCTGCCACAGATTCGTCAGCCGGAACCCTGGGGAGACCGAAAACAAAGCCGAATCGGAAAACCCCTAGAGCTCCTTTGACTCGCCAAAGAAGGCCGAGCCCTGAACCTGAAGGGCCGAGAGTTTCGATAACCACCACTTGTCTCCACCGAAGGCAGCCAAGGCCTTTTGGAGAGTCGGCAATTAGGCGGAGCTTGAGTGTATGGCGGAAGTTGCCGATGTTCTTCCGGGAAGGGCCGAAGGTGGCTGTGCGTTGAAGTCAAGAGTTACACACGGAGCAAGCAATAGGAAAAGCGGCGGCGGCGCTCTGAGGCGGGACTCCACCGGTTGCTTGGTCCTTTCCCTGGCTCGGCCTCCCCGCCCTCATCGTCCCGTCTCTCTCGGCCGGCCAAGTTAGGCCGCCGAGTCGTCCTCCCCCTACTTTCCCTCCCTCCCTTTTCTCAAGAACTGGGCATTGTATTGTATTGGGCCTGGCTGCGGTAACCACTGGGAGAGGTCGAGGCCGGGGCCGGAAGGGCCAAACAACAGTTAGCCAAGGCACCAGAAACCAGCCAAGATGATCAAGCTATTCTCGTTGAAACAGCAAAAGAAGGAAGAGGAATCGGCTGGCGGCACCAAAGGCTCCACCAAGAAAGCGTCTGCCGCACAGCTCCGCATCCAGAAAGGTTAGGGGGAAGGTCGAGAGACGGATGGGCAGCTGCGTTTATTTCTAGGTGAAAGAAACAAAGCCAGGCCGGTGTGGGCAGTGGTGCTGTTTCTTCCGTGTCGTAAGGATCAGTAGGTACCTCCTGTCAACGATAGGGTTAAGACTTTGTCCACCGAGGGCTTGCTGTCTCAGTTGTCCCCATTGATGAACATCACGGGCTGTTGGGTTTTGGGTTTTTTTTTTTTTTCATTTTCGTATGGTGGTGCCTTAGTGATTCGATTTTTCTCAATATATCTAGTGATCCTCATAGCAGCCAAGCTTTGGTAAGTGTGACTGAAAAAGCCCTTCCTGCTAGTGGCTGCTTGGTGAGTTCATGGCAAATCATTAAACTAGGTATGTCCTACCTAATTCCTTTTACTCACAGAACTCTTTTGGATCTTAGTCTGGCTTTTGAAACTCGTAAAGCAATGGTAGTCTGATTTTCTTCATAGGATGAGTTATAAACACTATATAATAGGCTAAAGTAACTTGATACATGAAAACCTTCTCAAACTGTAGATTGCTGATTTTTGTTTCTTGTCCATCCTCCACAAAGTTTTGGCTATTGAACAACTCCATTTTTATGCTTTATTATAAACAATTGGAGTTAGACTAGGCTGTGGGTTGTTTTCTATTAATCTTGGACACATGCAGTCTTTTATAATTTCAAATATCCTGTTTAAAATAACTCCTCATTCAGAATAATCCATGCCTATAACTTACAATTACATTACAGTAACTTGATTGTCCCTTAATAGTTGTCAGTTCTTGTGTACATGCACATATTTCGTTTCATTTTTGTATGATATACAGTGAATCAAAATTTCCAACAAGCTATCCTGGAGCCATTTTAGGAAGATTAGAACATGAGATTGGATCAAATTTCCCAGTTTTTTTTTCCTGTCTTGTGGTCAAGAAACTGTTGACTTACTTTTTTCCCCCTTTTCTAAAACTTTTCAGAGAAATGTATCAGTGTTGACTAATGATTGACATAAAGAAGAATTATATATTTTGGTTTGGGAATAGAGGCTTTTCTATTGATTTGGTCACAAATCTCTAACCAGCTGCCTTCTCTAAATTGACAATTCTGCTTTTCCTGCCAGATATAAATGAACTTAATTTGCCAAAAACATGCGAAATAGACTTTTCAGACCAGGATGATCTTCTCAACTTCAAACTAGTTATCTGCCCTGATGAGGTGAGTGATGCGGGCATAGGAAGGAACTGTTTGACATGGTACTACATACTGTACTGTTTGAGTCTCTGAACCCCATAACCAGTGCATTAGTAGGCTGTGCCCAGTGCTGGCTGAGTTTCTCCCACCTCCCCTTTTGTGTTTTTCTCTGGATGAGGGATGATCAATAGAACTTGGTTTGGGGAACAATACTTACTGAAAATAGCTTTAATCATTAGGGCTCTTGTAGTTGAAATTGTACAGAGTACATGTAGTCCTTGAGTTACGACCACAGTTGAGCCCAAAATTTATGTTGCTAAGTGAAACATTTGTTATGAGAATTTGCCCCATTTTACAACTTTTCTTGCCACAGTTGTTAAGTGAATCATTGCATTTGTTAGTAACTTGGTTATTAAGTGAATCTGGATTCCCCACTGACCTTGCTTGTCAGAAGATCACAAGGGGGGATCATGTGACCCCAGGACACTGCAACCGTCATAAATATGAACCACTAGCCAAGCATCTGAATTTTGATCATGTGACCATGGGGGTGATGTAAGTGTGAAAATTGGTCATAAGACAGTTTTTTCAGTGCCACTTTAACTTAGGTCACTAAATGAACTGTTGTAAGTCAAGGACTACCTGTAGTTTGAGTGTCCTGGGATATTCCCTCTTGATGTTGTTCATTGCATCCTGCCATATTTCTTATTTACTTCTTATATGTATCCTTAGCTTGTCACTGCACCATAAATATCTGTTTGCTGAGGTTTTTTTATATTTTGCTTTTAGGATAATTATAGTAAAAGATTTTCCCAAATTGCCTATCTGCTGTGTTTGAGAGTGTGAATGTGTCACCTGTTCAGAAGCATGGTCTTAAGTAGCAAATTATCCATAACTGGTTACTTTGGGTGGGGAGACTTCATGAGTGAGGTGATTTACCAAGCCAATGTCTCCTGTGATATTAACATATCAGTATACAGTATGTCTGTGATATTTTTACTTTTGTGCTTTGAGTCCAACGTTATTACTTAAAATTCTTCGCATTTTGAATGCAATGTGGTCCATTTTGTACATAAATTAGGTCTGAAGGTAGGCAAAAAATTGCAACATACCTTATTCTAAAGTGGAGAGTGTTGGCATGAGAAGAGGGTAAGGAGAACTTCAACGTATTCTGTTTTTAATCAATTCGTCTGTGAATTGGTATCTTCATTCTACCTTGTCATAGTTTAAAAGGTGTGATAAAAATCAACCATTCAGGTTTTCATACAACAGGAGACTGGAGACTCTTGAACAATAAATAAGAGCTTTATTATGGAGCTTTTGCAAAAGGGAATTCTCTGCTCATGGGCAGAGCCACAGAAGACATTTCTCCTAGGAAGGCTGGGGTTTATATACAGTTTCAAATATATACAGTAACTGCCCGTTTCCAGGTCCACAATCTATCCAGCTACACATCACCCTACACAATACCCTACTATTGTAGCATACCATCTGTTTCCTTGTCGTGTTTACCCGTTTCCATTTCCAGTAATCTCCATCATCAACATGACACTGGACAGCGTGACCTGCCAAATATATGACCTTCATACAAAACAATACAGAGAATTCTTACATAATATTCTAGTAAATTGTCTTAGGTTAACACAGAGGCCAAAAATGGCATTTACCATTGCTTTATATTTTCACAGGTATAATTTTACATATCACAAAAGGTGTCATGTTAGGGGGGAAATAAGAGTGTCAATTAACATCGGTCTCTTTGGACCATTAGAGATGCACAACCTAATTTACCAGGTTATATGTACCTTCTGAAAGTCTTAGCTGTAAACCTTGAGACCTCCAAAAATGGTTGTGTTGTAATTTTAAATGTGGCAGAAATGGACACCATTAAATACAACACTGGAGAGTGATTATTAACTAAATTTAATTCATATGCGATTTAGATTTAGTAGTTTTTCTGGCTGCATTCACCACATTTCAGGGGGGGAAGCAGCTTTCATCTTACCACTTGAGAGTTAAATGAGCTTTGGATCCATTTGAATTATAAAGCACTGAGCAAACAGGTGTGTGAGTGGGCGCTCCACAGAGCACAGCCAATTTCCAGCCATCCGGAGGGCTTTTTGAAGGCAAAGTTACCTTGGAGGGGCAACTGGAGAGGCAGGGCTGTTCGTCGACTCCACGTGGGCAGTTTCAGAACCTCCACGTCTGTGTTGAGGGTTGGGAGAAGTCCTTCCTGACAGTGGATGGGGAAGAAGATGGCCTGTAATGGCCGGATCGAAGAGCTGACAGCTGGTCAAAGCAAGCGTCAAAGTGGAAGGACAGTGGACCGGACCTGGCTGCAATGAGTTCCGACTTCAACCAAGTGAGTGGAACACACTTAGAGTGAAACAAGTTAATGCAAGAGAGCAAGGGGCTTCAGGAAGAAGAAGGGGTGGACTTTCTCTCCCCCCACCCCATGATAAAAGCATGGAGGGGAATCATGGAGCAGTTTCAGGACCTACAATCAAAGGAAGAGTGGTGGCAGCGGCGGAAAATATTCTTAAAATAAAACTGCAAGTGAAAAAGAGGTGGGAGTGTTGGATAAAAAATAATTTTGTGGAAAAATTGTTTCAGATGACAAGCACTTCGAATCTAACAAATATAGGGACAGGGAGGAAACCAGCCTCCCAGGCATCGTCAACTACCTCTAGCCCATCTAACCAGAGGTCAGTAGAAGATATGATTCAAAGAGAAAGGTCAAACTCATTCAAAGACTTACAGGTTATGCTACAATCGATGCAGGAAGCTATGAGTAGGAACCATGATGAAATGAAGAAAGAGATAAGAGAGGTAAGAAATGATACGGGAGAACTCAAAGAAAAAATGCAAAAGATGGATGAAAAATTTGAAAGTTTTCAACAACAGATTACCAAAAATGAACAGAAGCTACAGGAAATAGAAGAGAGGATGCAGAAAGAAGAAAAAAGAGTAGACGAACGAAGTGATAAATTAATCCAGACAAACAAGGAATTAAAAACTACAGTAATTTTCCTGGAGTCCGAGAAAGCTGCACATTGCATACGATTCCAGAACATGAGAGAAGAAAAGGGAGAAGATTTACCAGATACCATGGCAGAATCAATAGCAAAGGCACTAGGATCAGAGAAGGAACAGATATTGACAGAAATAGATGAGACCTGTAGGATTCACACAAACTACGCGAGGAGTCATAACCTGCCAAAGGAGGTGCACGTCAGATTAGTGAAGAAATTGATTTGAGACAAAGTGCTCAATAGGACAAGAGATGAGCTGATATTATAAAGGAAAACAACTGGTAGTTCTCAAACAGGTCCCAAGAAGAGTTAGAGAGCTGCATAGGCTGTATCAGTTTTTAACGTTGATTAAACATAACAATTTCAGATGGTTAACTCCGGAAGGTATACTGGTCACGTGGCAAGAAAAGAGATACAGAGTGGACACAGTGGACTAAGCAGTGGAATTTTACAATCAATATTTTGGTAATGAAGAGGAATCAGAGGAGAGGGAAGTAATAGAAGAAAGAGACCTAAGAGTACTGGCTACAGAAGAAAAGGAACTACAGCTAAAGGAGAGAGAAAAAGAGAAAGGAGAAAGACTAGAGAGCAACGGGAAAAGATCCAAAGAACTGAGAGAGATTAGAACAACAAGGAGTATAAGACCTAGATATAGATAGAGAAATGCAAGGAGAGGTTAAGATCTTATCACTGAATATTAACGGACTGAAGTCCCCCTTGAAAACTAAGAAAACTCTTAATAAACTACAAAGATTGACGTTAGATATAATAGCACTACAAGAAGTCCATATAAAAGAACAACATAATTACTGGAACACCCCAAATTGGGGAAATTATTTGTAGCATTATCACAACAAAAGAAGAGTGGTGTGGTGCTATATATTAAGAAGACAATTCAGGCTAAGCAAATCTCCTATGACAAGGAGGGAAGGATTCTGATTGTGGAAATAATACAAAATCAAAAATGTGTTTTATTAGTTGATATCTATGCCCCAAATAGGGGACAAGAACGATTTTACAAAAAACTACATAATGTTATCAGCGACACAGAGTGTGATAATCTTTGCATTTTAGGAGACTTTAACACAATAATAGATAAAAAATAAGGGAGTTAGAAGAATATTACCTAGGACCTCCTTTAAAATGGTAGAAGAGTTAAATTTGCAGGATACATGGAACCAGGAGAGAAATCAATATACATATTATTCAAACAGACACCAATCATCGTCTAGAATTGACATGGTATGGATGTCGATGGAATTAAACGCTGAAGTAAATGATGTAGAAATAGATGCAAATCTCTGGACAAATCATAACCCAATGAGGATTAGCTGGAAAGGACAGAAGAAAAACATAAGATGGACTCTAAATCAATCAATTTTGAATGACGAAGAATTTAGACAGACGATGGAAAAGCAAATGGGATTCTTCAATGAAAACAAGAAAGAAGACACATCCCTACAAAATCTATGGGATACAGCGAAAGCATATATGAGGGGAGTTGCTATATCATATATGGCTAAGAAAAATAAAAAGAAGCAGCAACAAAAATGGTTAGAAGAAGAATATAGAAGACTTCAGGTAGAGCTACAAGAGGAACCACAAAAAGGAATCCTAAAACAGCAAATGGAGTTAACAAAACTTAAATTGAACATTCTTGAAAAAGAGGATCTGGCACGATATATAAAGAGAATGAACCAAAACTTCTTTGAGAATGCAAACCACGGAGGTGGTTAGCTTATAAATTGAAGAAATAGAAAGAAAAAATGGATAAATAAACTGCAAGATGAAAATGGAACCATACGCCATCAAAGTGAAGAAAAAAAATATAATTAAGGACTTTTACAAGAAACTATATAATGACAATACTATATAGAAGAGAAAGCACAACAGAAGAGAATTCTCTTCATAGTGTTTATATGAGTCAACATGTCTCCATTCTTTTGAAGATGTGTTCTGAACAGCTTCCGTGTAAGATTTATATGAGCTCCT